AGCCCTCCTAATTGGCACTTACCTCACACCACATTGTTGTGTCGGCTGGGCTTCAAGCACAATCGTTTAATAAAATTGACAAACTTAATGGATATGTAATGGAGGGCTGTATACTTCGAAAAGTGGCCCACTAATTAATTTCGTGACACTTTGTCAATTCCTTTTTCACGCTTTCTCAAAGTAAATCTCCCTTTCAACAATGAATGCAAACATAGCGTAACAAGAATTTTCCTTATTTCCTTCTTGAATCTAGTTTGTAATTTTTATCTCTATTGCAGCAAGTGGCCACCCCCACCGTTGTGAAGAAGATCTTACGAATGAAGCAAGAACAACCGACGATGTTCGCTTGGGAGATTCGAGAACAACTGGCGCGGCAAGGAGCTTGCGATCCTCAGAGCTTGCCCTCGGTTTCCTCGGTAAATCGAATCCTTCGAGGCGGTGGACTTCATACGGATCACACGGGGATCGAGGGTAGTTCGCCGAGCACGTACGCCTCGCAGGTTTCCTCAAACGTCGCCAACAGAGGTAAAAAATAATTGCTCGATACTTGAATATACTCTATACTTAAAAATACTCCCGTTGTTTGAAACGATGTGCGAGGATAAATTTTCAGGATCACTAAACAATCTCTCTTCAGAATCAAAAAATTGCAAGCACAGTGACAGCATTGTCAATTTGTTATTGAATCGTTTGCTTCTTACAATTTTCCAATATCGTTATACTATGTATTTATCAATTATTATATACATATTATTTTGTACGCAAAAATTTATCAATCTGTCAATTCAGTTACACAAATACAAGAAAGTAGCATGTAGAATTGCAAGTTTCAAAGTAAATCTGTTCGTTGTCACCTTTGAATGAAAGAAACTTCTCGTACGAGAAAGTAAATTTCACGTACGAGGAAAGAAATGACATTCTGTTGTTCCTCAAACATTCAACGAGCCAGTGAAATCTCGAATCATGTGAATGTCACGAAGAAACAATTCGCAATAATCGTACGAATGGTCACACCACAAGTGTCAGCTGATCGTCCAGCTTTCCGATGATCGTCGTTCAAACGAAAGTAAAATTGGCTCGTGGTTTTCGTACGTCAGAATCGGCTCATTATGCGAATGAAAGCTGCATCGCGAGTGCGTCATTACCCCGACTAATGATCCCCTAAACATCTGTCCGTATCTCGGAATCACTGTCCAAATGTTTTTCCATTGTTCTTTTTTTTTTTTTTTTT